TCCCCCCCCCCCCCCCCCGCCCCCGGTGAAATTCACAACCAAGATCTACGAGCCCAACGTGGAAGAGAACTGACAGGTTTGCCTGCTCATTATCAGCAACAAGAACTGGAAGCCTTGCACCAAGACCCGCCAAGCCTTGGAGGCCCTCAACTTGCTGGTGAATAGACTGAATCTGGGGCAGCCCCTGCGGGTGGAACTCGCTGGCCTGCTGACTCAGAACCTGGAGCTATTCAAAAGGAATGCCGAAAAGTTCACCCTCCGATTTGGAGCGGACCGGCCCTCCGAACACTAGTTCTGACCCCTTTCCGCTCTGGATCCTCTGCATAGTGGATGGACGCACCTCCTGGACTGAGGCCACAGTCCCTGTATGGCCCATTCCCTGCTCATTTTTTCCTTCTTAGGTTGTTAGTCATTAGTTTGTGTGTGTGTGTCTGTGTGTGTGTGTGGTGGGGAGAAGGGGGCAGGTATGTGTGTGGAGGGTGGATTCACTCCCTGAGTCACTTGGCCACAGGTGTGCCCTTCCCACTCCTTTGCTTCCCCCAGAGCCAGGGAATTTAGATTTGCAGAGTTATGGGCCAGTTCCCCAGCTCTCCATCTTAGAGAGACAGGTCACATTCCGGGGCAGCTTGCAGGAAATGAGCCCAGCTGTCAACCAGAATCCCCCAGGGCCCAGAGGTGGAGGAGGCCAGAGGGAGTGGGGAATAGGGGTGTGGGCAGGGCATATGGAGTGCATCTTATGCACAACTGAGTGATTGAAATCGGCCAAACTACTGATAGACACGTACAGATTTAGGTGCTAAAGCTTTTAATCTCCCACTGATGGATCACAAAATGAAGAATCTAACCTCAAAAAAAAAATGCTAAAGCTTTTAATCTCCCACTGATGGATCACAAAATGAAGAATCTAACCTCAAAAAAAAAAAAATTTAATCATCCCATCATTATTTCTAAATATTTTTTTTATTTTCACTTTACACCACTTCTTAAGAGTGAATTTCAGTAAGTAAACTATATAACTCTGGGCTTTCTCAATTCCATTGATTTTAATTTAATTCATTTTAGTAAACATTTACAGAACTCAAGTGCCAGGCACTACTATGCCAGGTACAAGCATACAACGATAAAGAAGAACAGCCTAGTTGACTTTCTCTCCATCTACTCCAACATCACTAGATCTTTGTGGCAGTTTGGGAATAGAACTACACATAGTGGTCCAGATTTTGAACAAGGATAAGGAAACATTTTATTTCTCAATAACTTTCGACCCAGTACTTTTAAAGATGTTTTGGATGTGATGAACATCTTTTCCTGAAACAGAGAGCAGGGAATCACAACTATTACAAAGCTCTATTTTCACAAAGGAAGTCTCAGAAGTGAATGAATACTTCCAATATTTCACCTACCTTCTGAGTATCAAAGTTTTCAAATATCGGGGCCGGCCCGGTGGCGCACTGGATAGTGCGCTGCTTGGGAAGCGCGGCGGCGCTCCCGCCCGAGGGTTCGGATCCCACATACAGACCGGTTCCCGCTCACTGGCTGAGCGAGGTGTGGGGGCAACACCAAGGGTTGCG